TCGCAAGATAAAAAAACATGATATTTTTGTCGAGTTTCTGACTTTGGTGTTGTAACGTGCGCGACTAAATTTAAAGATCCACCGTAGAAAAAATGAAAAAAGGCTTCTTCTATGGTAGCACAGTGGAGATATGCATGGTAAGTTCGTGAGTGACGCGAAGTGGGTATTAAACCGTGGCTGAAAGTGGACGGTGGCGTTTCTTTTCTCGAAAATCGTACGCCGGCGTACGGGTAAATGTATTTTAAGCGGTCGTCTGCTGAAAATATCCAAGCAGAGATTCCCCAACACATGAGACGCACATGTTCACACGCGAGCCTAATAACTACACCGCGAGGATGACAAGGTCTCTGCCCACGTGAATTGCGCCAACGAGTTCTCGATATTCGTTCCATTTCCATTCCCATTTCCATTCTCATCCATTTAGACCGAAGGTTGTCCCATCATTCTCATCTCGCGTTCATCACATATTATATATATATATATATATACGCAATGCATATATAAATATAAAAATCTGCATCAATTAATTTAGTCTATAACATATTAATTCAACGTCCGAGTTCGTGACATATTGAAAGGAATGCTCTTCTATTCCGTATTTTAGAGGCTAAACACCTTCTCCGTCCTCTTCAGAATATTGAAATAAAATTGTTTGTCTTAATAATTATACATTTGACTACCTTGGAAAGGCTTACCTGTACATCTTCGAGCCAAACAAGTTGCTATCATTTCCAATTACGTATTGAAATTCCCCGTCGTTCTCGTCAAAAAGCGGTGTCGAAATCAGAAAATCAACAGAGATGTATTTGCCACGTTCTTCTCTCTCTCTCTCTCTCTTACGATCTTATACACATCTAAGACAACACTGTGTTCGACAGCCCCCGAACACCCAATAAAAATCACCCTCTCCTTTGATTGGCGAGATCCGATTTAACAAAGTACACCTTGCAGCAACGCTTACGTTTAAAGGGGGCCGAGGCAGATTGGGATCGATTTCACGAAAGACAGCGTGTGGTTCACGGTGGTTGAAATTCACACATGGGGCCTCGAAGCGATTTTACGGGGCGGAGAGACCACTGGTTCACGCAGCGAAGGGTTTGTTGCAGCGTTGCATTAGCGAAGGGTGCGTACCCGGTCGTGTCGTTTGTAAAACGTGGGTGGCGCCAGCGACAACGTGGATTGTCCTTTTTTTTTCCCTCCCATGGTCCCTCTGATCTTTCTTCCCCTATGTGCTTTTATCTTTCCACGAACGGAGCCTCAGGGGCGGTTGTCGAAAGTCCTTTGTGTAACCTCTCTGGTCTCTCCTTTCAACTTGCCTTCCACCTCCGAGATCCACGCTAATATTTATACCGTTTTTTTTTTGTCTTTACACCGTTCTTCTTTGTACCGCAACACGGGCACCAAGTCAGGTCAGGATCTTTTGTTTCTTTTTTATCGCCACCCGTTTGACGATTCGCCGATTCCTAAAGCTGGAACACTACACTTACGTCTCAAATTCTATATGAGAAATGTTAAAAAATGAAAACGACACCATGAAGTAGACGAGCTTTCATTTATATATCTCAATCTCTAAAAATACATTTTTTTTTACACCTGTAAAATACAAAAATTACAAATCGGTAGCTCCAGCGTTGATAGTTACTCAGATCGGAGAACTGAATTTTCTGAGAGAGCGCGAATTTCAAGATACGTAGCACACGGAGAGTTTTTATTATACCAAAGCTCTGTTGCTAATGGAGAAGTTACATACGTATGGATAACTCTTCTGGATTTAATCTCGCGATTAATCGAGAGGTATGACAAGTAGTACACTCGCGTGTAACTGTTTCCTGCTATCGTGTCATTGATCGACGCGAAAAACGAGTGAAAAAAAAAGAGAAAATGCGAGTCTCAAGAGAAAAAAAAACGGTATCGCGCTAAGATGATTCCTCATTGTTTCGAAAGAATGATCTGTGAAAAGAAGGCTGTTGCTATTTGCACGAGAGACAGTGCGAGAAAACACCGCAGCGAAGAGAGACCGTGTTTCTTTACTCGCACGGGGGAAATGGTGCGTATACGGCGAGCACCGTTTCCAAACTATGATTGTATGGTAATATCAGCCAAGTGGATCAGCGAAAAAAAAAAAAAAAGAAAAAAAACCCGTGCGTTTTCCGTGTCGAGAACGTTTACGCGAGAGGAGAGAAACCTATTCCTTCGGATGGAAAGATGCATCACGGAACACGGGATCCTACGGGACGCTTATCAGTCGTGGCTCGCCGGTTTATATGCTGCTCTAAATCTAGCATTGGCGGAAGTGCGTGAAGCGTAACTTCTATTATATACTGATTGGTATACCATAGCGCGGAGGCAATATACGGACGTTAATCGTCTGCACCGGATGTCGGATCCGACGCACGTTGCAAACGAATATCAAGGACAATAGCAAGGGGCACAAGGGGTTTGGTTCGCGACTCTCAAATAGGAAGTAATTCCGTACGGTGCAAAGATTTTTTTCAGCCGATGCTCGCTCGCTCGAATGTCGTTTGCACGCTTAGAATATTTCAAGGTATTTCCGTTTGAATTGTCATCGATATCGCGGACTGCTAGTCGAAGATATCAAACAGGAGATAAGGATTATTCAAATAGCACAGGTTTACGTGTATACAAGATTTGTAAATACTGTGGGTAAATTATGTTGTATCGCCACTGAATAATTATTATAAAGTAATTAATATTATCGTAATTGGTTGTGTTAATCTTGTTCGATATTGTCAAAGATAATTCATACTCGTCGGAAATTTTCATCCACTATACATATAGTGGACGAGTGACCCATAAAAGTTTGATGTCAACTGGAGAATTGACGCTCGACTCCCCCTATCTATAAATTACTATTACTTATTGCCAACGGTTTTAATCATAGAAACACAGATAGTAACAAACCCATTTACAGTCATTTATAACGATTTGTTAACACATTGTGACCGTCGGTCACCAGTTAACTCGTGTTTGCACTTGCATTAGCTATTTTAATTTTTGACGCTCAGGGTAATAGAGGCTACTGTGAAATTTCCTTCGTCGCGTTCGCTCTGTTATAAAAGAAAAAAAAAACAATTACGTTTATTGATATTTTTATCGCAATTTTAGCGTTGGAAAAATTTCAATCATGAAGAACTTCTCAATGAATTGCATGCAAACGCTTTATCTGATGTGAACATTGATAGTTTATCGCAGAAAGGACCAGATATACTTGCGAAGTCTGTTGTGCATCATTACAAGTAGGTGATTCCTACTAAACTAAAAAAAAACTAAACTAAACTAAACTAAAAAAAAACTAAACTAAAAAAAACTAAACTAAAAAAAAAACTAAATTAAACTAAACTAAGCTAAAAAAAAATATATACATATATAATATACGTAAGAGGTATACAAAGTTTTATTTAAATTCATTCTGTATAAATAAAGTATATTGAAGTTTATTTAGATTGTTTCACTTTCATACTCAATTAACGAAATAATACGCCGAGGCGACGTGAGGTAGCATGCCATTTGCGTAAAGTGTGTTAAAAAGACGTAAATTTGTTTACGCATCCATACGGAGTATGGAACAGAATAATTATATATATTAACACGTGCAGCAAAAACCTCGTCAAAAGGTTACCATTCAATACCATCGTTACAATAGCTGCGGTCACGTTTTGGAAAAAAAAAAAAATCTGCGTAAAACGATACCGAATTTTATGTTTCCAGAGCGCGCAGAACAGGCTGTTGATCAAGAACGGCAAGGTGGTGAACGACGATGGGATCACGGACAACGACGTTTACATCGAAGACGGTATCATTAAGTAAGTGCTTTTATACATATTTTTATACGTTTGCTCTGCTTATTTAATTACGTCATTAACATCAGAGTTTCATTCACGACCTGAGCTCTCTCGCAGATCACGAAATCACTGAAATTGAAACGTTCCGTAGTTCATTACAGATGCAGAATCGTATCGAATCGATGTTCATTTTATGACAAGAAACTTAGTAATACTTTCGGTAATCAACGTGTTGCAGAAATATGTATATAATTAATTCGACGATGTTGATTTTATGCCACTTTATGGCAAGAAATTTAGTAATACTTTCGGTAATCAACGTGTTGATCGTAAAAACGTATGTCACAGAATTGATTCATTCGTTCGTTACGCAAGTGAAAAAAGGACAATGAACATAGTTCATAGCGAACAAAACGGACTTTTAAAGATTCGCCGGTGTGTACGAGCGATGGAGTCTTCATTCAGCATTCTACTCGCATGTTTGCTCGCTACTTTGCGCAAGCGAAACGCGACGCAACAGAGTTTTATCAATGAGCAATAACGTGGAGAGATAACGTGGTGGATGGGCGGCACGATTTGTCGTGCAAGCGTGATGCGAACGATTTAAAGAAGGTAATTTCTTGCGTGCATTAATTACTAGAGCCGTAATTATGCCACCATCAAGTGTAAGTGGTGTCGGCGGTTGTCGATTGATTCGCCTCATTGCTCCGCTTCTTTAAAAACTGGTTATCTTTCTTTCGAGAAAGAGCGACTTCAGTTGACGCAGTCAGTATATTTTTAGAAACGGACGATAGCAAACGAACGAATATTATATTTCGCTCTAGCGATCATCCTTCAAATTTGAAAGTTCATTAAAAAAAAAGAAAGATCCAGTCGGTGAATTGATCAGGCGTTTAACACAGTTTTACGGCAGGTGTTCAGGTGACACGCTTGACTTTGGTCAACAAAAATGATAAATAAACACATTTATACGAAATACATACAATTATGCCCCTCTCCGTCCAAACTTAAGGAAATTAATAATTAATTTTCAGGCAGAAGTTTGAAATTTATCGACGAAACTTCCAACAATGACGGTTGTCATATACATAATACATATTTCTCACGCGCAACAGCACTTTTTCCCGGGAGAGAGTGTTAATCGATCGCTTCCATTTACCGGCGAATCCATTTACATTGGCAACGTTCTATTTCTAGGCAAATGGGCCGCAATCTGATAATACCGGGTGGCACGAGAGTCATCGACGCCCGTGGGAAGTACGTGATGCCTGGCGGCATAGATCCGCACACTCATTTCGAATGCGAGCTAATGGGCGCGAAATCGGTCGACGATTTCTACCAGGGGACCAAAGCGGCCGTGGCCGGTGGCACGACGATGATCATCGACTTCGTCATCCCCAGGAAGGACGAGTCAGTTTTGGAAGCGTACGAGAGATACCGCGAGTCCGCCGACCAGAAAGTCTGCTGCGATTATTCGCTCCACGTGGCCGTCACGTCCTGGAGTCCAAAAGTGAGTCTCCTCCGAAGCGCAAGGCCTCCAAAACGACACGTTCGGGCTTCTACGTCTTCGAATTATATGTTACACGTAGATCACGATGAGACACGAGACAGTTGTTGACGGCAGATCGTAGCAGCTGGAGATCTGACGATTGCGATCAAGCGGCAGCCCAGTATAATACAGTTCGCACGCGTTTTCTATTCTATTTAGAATTGCCCGGAATGAGATAATTGCGAGTAACACGAGAGTCCTTCGTGGAAAAGAAAGCCACCGATGTCTCTGGCCACGACCTCTTTCTTTGCCCGGCATCTTTCCACGAAGTTAAACATAGTTCGTTCATACTGCGACGGCAACGTAATTGTTGACAAGCAGTATTCAGATCGCAAATAGAATTTACGTAATCTGCCGATGTGATCGTCGGTAATTGCCAGCCCAACTGTGTGTTACGCTTAACACACACGTTATTTCTCTCTCGATCGTTCCGATTGTCGGATCGGACAAAACGAATGGACGGAATCGTGGGAGGTTTTGACGGGAAGATTTGCTTGAAAATTGCGAACCCATTGGTAAGTTTCGAATCGAGTTCGAGCTCGAACGAATAGTTTGGCGAGTGTAAAGCATCATCGGCCTGGATGTCGACGAGTCCAGCTCCAGCTCGTTCCTAAATATGGCGAGACCGATCCCGCGGCAAATTGGCAAATCGTACGAATCTGGTAGCTGCAGCACGCTGCCTCGACGGCATAGTAACTGTAATCGCGATCGTGAATGGAATACCCGAGCGAACGGTGAGGAAATCGCAAGCGAACCGCGTACGGACGCATGTAAATCGTCGTGCTCCTTATTTGCTGGCGCTTGTCGAGCTCCTCTGTCCGCTCGCGGGCGACTTTGTTCCGTTTCAAGACAACGTCTGTTCCTGTTCGAAGCGATTCTAACTCTAACGTTTCCAGGCGAACTCGTGCGCTGTTCTTGTTTCTGTTATCGCCGATTTCACGGATTTCTCACGTTGCAGGTGAAGGAGGAGATGGCCACGTTGGTGAAGGAGCACGGTGTCAGTAGCTTCAAAATGTTCATGGCGTATCGCGACATGTTCATGCTGAGGGATCCGGAATTAATCGAGACGTTCAAAGCGTGCAAGGAACTCGGCGCCATCGCCATGGTCCACGCGGAAAACGGCGACATTGTTGCGGAGGTAGGTTACAGTTATCCTTGAAGCAAGGCGAGAAATATGCCAACAGTTGTTGGAAAACGTTTCCCAACAACTGTTACCGTGTTTGGCGTTCTATCAGCCGACGAAAATAGGCGCGACGCCGTCGTCCACACAGTCACGAATCCGCTCATAAATTTAGACAGCGGATCGTTTTGGAATTGTTTTAGAACACGAAGCGGCTGCTCGATGCAGGAGTCACGGGGCCGGAAGGTCACGAAATGTCTCGGCCGGAGGAAGTGGAAGCAGAGGCTGTGAATAGAGCCTGTATCATAGCTAGCCAGGTAAGGGCGACAAGTCTGGATAGGACTTGATTTTTAAGAGGTCCGTTTTATATTTGTACAGTATGCTCGCCTTTATTGTCTCAAGCACCGCCACTTTGAGAATCAACGTGTCGTAGTAGTATGATACTTGAATGGTTGTTTTATCAATGAACGTACCCACCCTCCTTTCTCTGACCCTAGTTTCGCTTTGAAATGATATTTTTACTTCAGTTCAGTTTTAGTTAAAGATAGAATCCTGTCATCTCATCAATTGTAAAAGAAATTCAGAAGATTTCATTGTATAAGAGACAGTCCGATGCTCGAGAGAGAAGATTATGTTAAAGCGTAAAACGTTCAAAATTCTGCATGCTTAGGTCAATTGTCCACTGTATATAGTGCATGTGATGAGTCGTAGCGCCGCAGAAGCGGTGGATGCTGCGCGAAGGCGCGGTGCTTGCGTCTTCGGCGAGACCTTGGCAGCCGCAATTGGCACAGATGGTACCAACTACACGCACAAATGCTGGAAACACGCTGCAGCGCACGTTTTGAGTCCACCTCTCAGGCCAGACCCAGATACACCTCGTGTCTTGCTGAATATGTTGGCCAAGTGAGTCGAAGCCACCGTGAGCCCCCGATAGGCTGACTTTGACATCCAGAATATATAGTACACTCATGTTTCCCATCATCACACGATGATATTATTGTTATTAATTACACACAGTCTTTCGTACGTTCCGCTTCACGAGTGAGTGAAGAAAGAAAATCTTGGTGACAAGCACACTTTCAATTTCGAGAGATTATCTATC